ACAGCTAAGATGCTGAACAACAGCTCAACCTGGAGCTGGGCTGCCGTGAGTCGCCGGCAACGGCGTAGGCTGCAGCCCCTGTGGCAGTGGGTTGTCATGGGCTACTGTATGTAGCTAGCAGCCAAAGTGATTGGCCAGCAGCCACAATGAGTGGCCGTCCAGAAGCTGGCGACTGATCTGCCTCACCCGGGAAGAGCGCAATGATGGTGCCAACTTGGGTCAGTGAAGCAACGTCCTCCACAACAAAACGACAGCAACTTGTCTGTTCCCCTTCCCCCAACTCCCCAGCACTGTTCCCATCCCCCCAATTCCCCAATAAAAATCTTTTTTAAAAATGCCCACATCAGTGAAAGGCAGTATGGCATACTAGAAGGAGCAAGTGTCTGAGTTCAAATCCAACTGGACCACATAACAGCTGTATTCAGTACTGTGAAATAAAAAGCATAGGCCCTGTCATCAGAGAAAATAAACTTTGAATTCTTGTTCTGCCATTTATTAGCTTTGTTACTTTAAATTGGACAAGCCTCACTTTCCTTTTCTTAACATGAAAACATAATAATATATACCTTATAGAGATTGTTGTGAGGATTAAATGAGCTATCTTATGAAAAATGCTTCTTAGTAGAGTGCTTGGCATGTAGTATTTCCACATTAAATGGTTGCTATTATAATGATCACATTCCTAAGTGATAATAGGCCATGTTTTTCTTTTTTATATTATTCTTACTTTTTGTATTATTTTTATGTTTTTGTGTCATTTTTATCTGTATCATTCTTGTCACATTTTACTCTGAAGATAATTTAAAGAAATATACCATACTTTTAAATACTCAAGGAAAATTTGTATAATATTCTTCAAAGGCTTGGGGGGGAAATCACCTTATAAATCCATCAGGTTTAGGTGTGTTTTGGAGGATGTGATTCTTTAATATTTTTCCTGTTTTCTTCTGTGTTCATTAGAACACCTTCAGATAATTCTGACAACTTTTTCCAAGTGAAAGAAAAATCTGAATTTCAGAATTTTTTTTACCACCTGAGAATTGTTGATCAATTTATTATCTATGCTTGCAACTATTTCAACATACCACTAGTTATTCGATTACTGCTTTATCTCTTCTTCTGTAAGAAATACAGTCTGCATCATTTTACAAAGGGGTTACCTTGGAAGCCAACACTTATTTGATTGTCTAAATCTTTTAAACCAGCGGATTCTGCTTTTTTCTGTTTATTTAATCAGAACCTTCGTGTGAACACCAAATCCCCCCAATTCCCAACTCTGAATGAAAAAGACATTTCAGAAATGGATGAATAATCAGTGCCTGTAGCTAGCTCTTTAACCACGCTTAAATGACCATAGACTTCTGTGTGGAATGACCACAAATGCTGTCGTGGGGCTGCAGCCTGTGGAGCCATCACTAGAGCACAGCAGCAGCAAATAGTACCATTTGCTAATAGTAGTAGGCTGTTGGAGATAATTGTACAAGTTCAAAAGAGGAGGAAGATCCTTCCACTTTTGTGCATAGCATGATCCTGCCTGTATGTCCAATAGCATCTATTATCTAGCTTTTAAAAAGAAAAATAAATGATTTATGTGCCTTATCAGAGGAGTAAAAGGATAATTCTGATACAATATATTAAAAGTTCAAAAACCCCTCAAACCATGGTGCACTTATGTATGAGAGACTTTAATTTTTCATCCATCCAGCATCTTCAAAACACAGCAACACAGAAATGATATAAATGTCTAACTACTATGCTGTACAACTGAAATTAACATAAAATAATATAGAATGTTGAATGTAACTAAAAATATAAATATATACTGTAATTTAATAAATAAATAAATAAATAAATAAATAAATAAGATTTCCATTCAAGATGGTGGAGTAGGTAAAAAAAAATACAAACAAATGAAAACAATGCAGCAACATTTGTTTAATTGTGAATTACAATAATGCTTTTGTTATTAAACAATTACATAACTTTTAGAATTCTTTCCTGCGTCCAAGGTCATTATATTTATTCCATGCTACTTAAAAGGCTGCTACATCCTAACCTACCATCTCAGCCTTACATTTGTATGTGTAAGTGCCCATTTCAAACATTAAGGCACAGTGAGAGCACGGAAAGATTGTTCCCTGAGTGTGTTTAAATGTTTGCTTATACGCCTCTATTTGACTGGCTAGGGTAGAGGGACACCACTGAAAATTTAAATCCAAGTGTTGTGAGGCACTGACCTTTGAAGATCCATCAGGAAAAGTGGTTCTGAGATTAGCCCAAAATGCAATGGGAGAATGTGTTAAGTATTCAGAGACTATAACATACATGCATTATTTTAATAACTCATCTATTGGATCAGTCAGTACACAATTCAATTTTTCCTGGGTCATGCCCCTCAATCATGCCTAAGGGGAAGAAAAGAAAAGGAAATGTTAGCTAGCTCTAACCACTCTACTAATGTAGAAAGTAATTCCAAGGTGAGTCCACCCCAGAGAGCAAATGAGTTCTTTTAAAATGTTGAGGGGAGGGGACAGCAATTTCCTACCACCTTTGAAAAGTTCTCTAGTGACCTGGTGGCATGGAAATTCGCCTAGGTTCATTTGTGCAGGTCACACCACCCTGGATAAAAGGAGGACAGTTACCAGGCTAAATTTTGTTTATAAGGTTTCTCTCCCCTCCAGTGTGAAAAATAGAAAATAATAAAGTCTTATTTGAAACTTTTCACTGGTCAGAAATTTCAAGCAAGAGACAATGTTGAAGCTACGCTATCCCCAGAACCAGCCAATTGATCTATCTATGACCTTAAATTTATGACCAAACCATTATTTCAATATGCAATAACAACAAAATCAAGCCAGTTTGTAAGGGATTAGGGAGACCCGGAGTGTCCCACATGAGATGTGGTTTGCAATGGTGGACAGAAAAGTAAGATAACTGGTGTTGACCCAAGTTATATTTAGTATAAAGACTCCTTTGTTGACGCACGGTGATAACAGTTCCTCGTTTGTTAGATCGTTGGGTATAAAGTTATATAATTCAGCCTTGCCCTTCTCTCCAGCCTACTGTGGTAGCCAACACCTTCTACTTTTAGCTATGGTAGTTCCTGGACTGCCAAAGCCACTTCCTATATGTCAGCCAATTTTGACTTTTAGAATAATGCAGGTAATTTGGCAAGTTTGAAGGGAGGTAGGGAGAGGTGGTTTAGAATCAGTCTTTCTTTATTCCCTTTTTTCAAATACTCAGAAATTCCTTTCTTTTGTTTGATTTCTGCTAGCAGATTCTACCCATTATTACAATGGCATCAGACACTGTCCTTGCACATTGTCCCGATAACTTTCACAAAACTTGCCAAACGCCATGGTTTTTTTATTTCCTCAATTATTGAAAGGACAGTTTGTGCCAGTGTTCTCCTTTTAACCATTATAATCCTGCTTCTATTATCTCTCATTTAACAGAGATTGATTTCTTGTCCAAAATTAGCCAGAGAATTCTATTTGGATCAGTCCAGCATAATTAAAAATACATATATTATTAACCTGAGAATTCACACCACTCCTCACCTAACTGCTGCTTAAATAGCTCCTGTGATGTTTTTTTACACTTTCTGACTAGCATGTAGAAATCTGCCTGGGAGTGAAGCAGTTCATTGTGGGAAAGCAGACCATGCATTGCTATAAGTTTGTCACCGAGAATCCTGCACATGTGTGTGTTGTCAACTACAACTCTCCTCCTAAAATTAAAGCACGCATTTATTATTGTAGGTCTCCTGTTAAAGGACAGCTGCTATTCGTATTACACTTGCATTAAATTGAAACTTGCAATTTAGCTGTCCAGATGTACATTTTTAAATTAAAATATAAAATTGTATTTGCTTTGTTTATTTCTCATTCAAAAATATCTGGAACCCTACCTTAGGGCTCCTCCTAGCCTTCAAACTCCGTTGAAGAAAGGGAACTACTCGCACAGATCAACATTTCCCTCTCCGAGGTTGCTGAAGAGAACTAAAGGATTGGGGTAATTTATAGAAAAGAGAGGACCCAGGAAAGCAGCTGGTGAGTCCGTTCTCTCTCTCTCTCTCTCTCTCTCTCTCTCTCTCTCTCTCTCTCTCTCTCCTCTCTCTCCTTCAGTAAGCCGATATATTTATTGACTAAGGTCATTTTTAAAATTACTTATTTCACTTTGCCTGTATCTGAAATGACTATAAGCCTACAGCTTTGAACCACACTGCATTTTTCATTGGCACTTCAGTTCCTGAAGCTCTAGAAACTTTGTAAGCATTTCCCCGGCCCACTCCACCCCGGGATGAGCGCAAGCTGTTTGTTTTCCCTTTTGTAAAAGCTGAGTTTATGATTCTCCCCCCTCCCCCAATTCCCTTAAAAATGAAATGACTAAGAGCACTTGCGACGGGGGCTGGGCCGCTGGGTTTGGGGGAGAGGCGCCACACCCCCTTGAGAAAAAAGAACGCGCTGCGCTCTCTGAGAACCGTGCACGAGTGAACGAACCACACAAAGAATATATTTGGCGACGAAACAGCGCCCGACAGGAAGAAAGTGCCCACACTCGGAGCGTGATCAGATGCGCGACTTTTTGGCGCTCTTTGGGAGCCGCGAGCAGGAGGCAGAGAACAGGCGCAGGGCGGGCACGGGCGCAGCGTTGGCACGCAGCCGCATTCCCGCTCACTCGCCGCTCCGAGCCAGGTGAGGATGGCGGCAACGCCTTGGCGGGGTGCGCCGAGCTACCTGGCAGGCCGGGGTGGGGCCGGGCAGCCGAGAGCGGCCCCGCGCTCCGGTGCCCGCGCGCGGCTCGGCTGCCTGGCAGAGTTTCGCGGGAGTTGCCGTTTTGGCGCCTAAAGTCCCCCTCACGAGCGCCGTCCCCTCAGCGTGTCCTGACTGCCGGGCACAGAGCACCGCGAGGGCGGACCTGGCGCCCGGCCCGGGCTTCCCGAGTCGGCGGGCTCTGCCAGGGGACAGCTGGTGGAGGGCACGCCTTTGGCTGGGGCCGGGCGGGGTTGGGGCCGGGGTTGCCATGGCAGCCGCTTGCCGGGCCGAGAGCCCCACGGCCGCCCGCCGCCGGGAGGGCGCTGGGGAGCTCTGAGGTACGCTTCAAACCGACTGAACCAAGAGCGTGCGGGAAGGGGGGAGGCCGGCGCGGGGGCCCCCCGTGAGCCCCAGCCCGCCAGCTTGTCCCGGGAAAAGGTCCCCGTGTTGTCGAAAAAAGAAAACATTCTTTCCTCTGGGCCTGAAAGGGGGCTTGCAACAGCACGGGGGGTTAGGGGTCATTGCGGAGCGGAGGGATTACCGCCTCCATCCGCGAGTCCTCGTGTGCGTGTCTCTGGGCTTGACACTGTATACCCCGCGGCGGCTGACTTGGAGCCCGGTTACACGTCCCAGCCATGAAGTTCTGTAGGTGGGGCGGGCTTTAATGTGCTTATATCTAATGATTTCAGAGCCTTGCTTTAAAATGGCGGCATTCAGTATGCACCCCTGCTAAAGGCTCTCCAGGCACCGAGGCCACCTCGCGCAGCGCTGCTTTTGCTTCTGCCGCTAACAGATGGCATGCACCGCTGCCCCTGCCGCTGAGAGCAGGACTCTGTAGCCTCTGGGTTTGCGCTAGCAGCATAAGGTAAGGCCGGAGATAAGTTGGGTTTCGTGAGTGGCCGTCTTCCTAGGACGCCGACGAAATAAAACGCCTTTTAAACTTTAGTTTTCAAAATGGCAAATAGAAAGAAAAGTAGCACCGCAACTTTTTTTTGCAATTTGGTGGCTTTGCTCTTTCTTCCTCTTGTTTTTTTTTTTCCTTTTTCTTCTTCACATATATTTTATATATGTATATTTTACTATATATATACACACATACATATATGTATGTATGTGTGTGTGTGTGTGTGTGTATATATATATATATATATATATATATGTATTAATTTAAAGACACTTCTTGCATGGCGTTTCAAATGCTTTTAACAACTAATTTCCCTCCAGAGTCATGCGATATCCTGAGCAGTACCACGGCTTCCTCGCAGCCCTTGTATTTTCTCGCTCTAAATCAACACATTTGGGCAGCTTGCTTTAGTACCAGCATCTGAAGGGTATGAGGGTAGATTTTAGGAGACTATTAAAAAGATAACTTAAGTTTTTAGCATTCATATAATAGGCTTTTATTGCAAGAAAACAAAATTAAATCATGACGAACAACAAAAGTTAACATTTCGGTGATTCATTTATGTAGTTTTATCATTACTGTGGTAGAACTATGCATTTTTCTGACTGCTGTCCATGGATTGGTATATATAGATACAACAGTGGGGGTGAATTTGTTGGATTGCTGTAGTGACGATAGTGTGTTTTTAGAGTTCTTTTTTCTTAGATGTTTCTAAATTGCTAGTGTTTGTAAATTGAGTACAGGTCCCCACAACCTATCTGTACACATGTATTACGTTCATGGGAAAACCTAAATTAGAACAAAACTATTACAAGATTTAATTTTGGAATCATTGCTGGTTTTTCACTATGTTGACTCCCTGGTTTAATCAGTAAGTCTTTGGGTGAATGGTTGGAAAGCGGACTGTTGAAATAGCTGTACAAATGACTACACATCAATGCTTAATACAATTCATCTGAGCTATATTCCCCATCTGATGAAAGGCATAGGGACAATAAGGCTTACCAGAGACCTCAGACTTTTCTGATTATATTCACATTTTCTCTTTTGCCTATGCAAATGTTTAAATACTTTTTAAAGTTCTTTTATATTTTTTTCCAATATGCAGTACTTTGGGGGGATGACTTCAACTTATAGAAACTTCCCTAAACATAGCCTAAAAGGGCTTTTGCCCATAGCCCAGCTGATATAACACCCCTATCCACTTTATACTTCTCCCCAAGCAGTAGAAGTTTCTTGGCTGGCAGACTGTCCTGCTATTAAATTTAGCTAGCTTCTGGGAAGGGGGGAAAGAGATTGTTTTGCACTTATTAGAGAACTCTGCAGGTGCTGTAGTGTGCCTAGAAAGAAAGAAGTGAACTGTTTACAATGGAATTTACTACATAATAAATTTTGCCCCAGTTTTTCAGATGATCATTGAGAGAAGTGTGTGGGGCAATACATTGCTTCATGTCTGAAAGGAGAATTTCTGCAGGTAGAGCAATAGATACTTGCAGTTTTACAAGGGGTGGGGTGTGACCATAAGCAACTTTTCTCATTTTTAGTGATTACATATTTAGATCCCAGTTCAATAAGCTTTGCTTCCTGATGCAATGCCTTGTTGCTGAATGACTTCAGACCAAATGCATCCTTTGGGGGGGAAAAAGTGAAAATACTAAACCTTGGGGTCAGAATACACAAGCTAACCTAGTGTCAGAGACCTTAGAAGGAAATTTTGTCAGTTAACATCTTGCAGTTTCATATAATGAGGATTGGAGACCTTGTATGAAAACATATGTGAAGGAGTTTATAAAAAATATTTTGAGATAGAATTGATATAGTGCTGGGCTAGAGGTGGTGATTGCATGTTTTGCTCTACTTCTAAAAGCTACTTCACTTCTCTAATTTCCTTTGCTGCTTTAACCACTCATAATGATTTCCAGGACTATTATGAAGTCCATTTTTTTCCTCAATTGTCCACGCCAGGCATTTCACAACAGCTCTTTTTTTAAGGGGGATAAAACCTATGATTATGAGCTGATATCCAAAGTATCTTTGGTATTGCCTCGCACCCAACCTTTACCTAAGCAATGCTTTGCACAAAGTAGGTGCTTAGTAAATGTTGAATTAAAAAGAAAAATGAATAGTTTGTAAACTCACAGAGGAGCAGATTTTGTGCACAGCTTTTAATTTAAATACAAAGCATTTTTGTGTACTTGCAAAAACCTGAAAATTTAAAGTAGGTTAAAATGTACAGCCCCCTAATTGCCTGAATTCTATTTGCCTCAAATGGGTTCTCTTGCTTCTCATTGTACTTCTAGGCACTTGTGTAATTCATCCTTTTGACCAGTAGGTATATTATTATCTGACCAGCTCTACAGTATGAAAAAAGTAATCACAGAAGTTTTGGGGGAAAAAAAGGTTTTGTCTTAAGGCTGCAGAGTACTGCACGTGCTGGAACAGTAACAGTCTGGGCTGCTGTGCAGATGCTGACAATATAGTTTGAAGTTCAGTTTTGTTCTCCGCCCACTTGTCTTTATATATAAGAGAGAGGGGAAGGAAGAGGTGAGGAGATTTTCATTCTTAAAATTTTATACTTATCCTGCTTACAGCACAATAAATTCAGGAAGTGGCACAATTTTTCTGTTTTGAAATAAATAATGCTGTCTGACAGGATTACAAACAGGGATTGGGGCAGAGCAGAAAAGAATAAGTTAGGGTACATGTTGGACAAGTAATTAGATCCTGTAATTAAAGTTAGATAATGGTCGCTGCCATGTTAAAACTATTAAGTGTCTGAAAGAGCATGAAGGCTACGCTCACCTTTACATCATCAAGGTTCTTCCATGCTGTTGAGTTTTCATATAACAATGTCTAGTAGGTTGAACAGACAATTTCCCCCATTATAAATGGATGTGATGTCAAGAAAATAGAAATCAGAAGTTTTGTTTCTTTGTGGGATTTGTGTGCCTCTCCCTGGGTGCGATATGGCTCTCACTTCAAAAATAGAAAGAAACTTGTGTCTCAGACGAAGTGAGGTAGGCATTTTTCCTGTATGAAAATAAACTGTGTTTGGGAGCAAGTAGTTTAATTGCCAAACAACCAACCAAACAACAAACAAACACAAATTATGACCAAAAAGAAAGCAATTAGATCTGTATTAATGTGGGCTTTTAGACTTTAAGGAATCAAGATGGTTCCATGGCATCCTACTCTTCTTAAATTATATATATATATATATATATATATATATATATATATATGTATATATATATATATACACATATATATATATATATATATATATATATATATATATATTGCCTCAAGACAGCCAAATGACAATGTTGGAAAGGCAACTTTGAGAATTAGGATANTATATATATATATATATATATATATTGCCTCAAGACAGCCAAATGACAATGTTGGAAAGGCAACTTTGAGAATTAGGATAAATAAGGTATCAATTATGTTATCAGGTGTTAATAACTTCCATGTGACCTAAAAGGGATCAGAAAATATTTTTTGCCAAATAATTCTAATACAGACACAATATAAATCCATCACTTTAGTTCTACTTCATACTAAATTGACTGTTTTTAAAAGATTGATGGGGAAAATGATATAAGCTGGGAAGATGGACATTATTTTTATTTATATATATTATATATATTTTATATATATTATATATTATATATATTTTATATATATTATATATTATATATTTTATATATATTATATATTTTATATTTTATACATATACATATATTATATATATTATATATAATATATATATTATATATTATATATATATAGTGTGTGTATATATATATATATATATATATATATTCCCAAAATGCATGTGCACATGTGTCATTTTAGAACAATTTATACAGCTATTCATTGATTTCTCCATGGAGGTTTATAGGAAAAGACCGTTTTTTTTAATAGCATTCCTCCAATTTTAAGAATGAAAGAAAAAAGGTTCACAATAAACTATAATATATGTTTGTATTAAGCGATATCTCTCTGAGGCTCAGTAAAAGAGCTGGGG